GTTTTAATTTATTGATATGATGTATGAAATATTAGTGTGCATATTACACATGATCTTTACCTAAATATATGATACTTCTGGTGTTGATAGACCAAAGTAAATTTTAGTTTGCGTCGTGCCCAGGCTTCGACAATTTGCTAGCTCCGCCACTGGTTCGCAAGATGCCACATAATTGTTGTGATCAAGTTGGATAGGACTGATTGCGGGCAGGCAAGATAACGACAAGGCTCCATCCCAAGATTATTAGAGAGCACTACCAGGCTTGGCCGGTTGGATTGCACAGACAACTCGTACGCGCATACATTGAGCAAAGGATGCCCCTGAAAATTGGCAACCTGTGTTTTTTTTAAAAGGAGGATGCATCCTCGGTCTCTGCATCTCGATAATGAATACGACCATTTTATTAATTATTAAGCACAAAAGACCTTACAAAGTAGTACATCAGTGAGTTTGAAGTCACCATCTAGGCAATATCTGTCGCTACTCCTATCCCCTTGATGCAGCGGTGCCGAATGTCCGAGCCTAATACCAAACAGACATCGCATCAAATCCTAACATCTAATGCCGGATGCCCCATCCTAGCCACATACCGGGACTAGGTCACACACCGGTCCGGCGCACTCACCGAGGCTGCCGCCGTCTTCTTCCACCCATCCATCTCCAGAGCAAGCACTGACGCACAGACCTTGCCAGGCCTGCCGTCGACGCCACCATGGCGCCAGATAGCTCGACCACCCTGCGCTCGTCCATCCAGCCGCATCCGTCATCGAAATGCAGCTGCACCATGCCGCCAACACTCGTCGCCAATGACGCGGTAGATACAACGCCGCACCACCTAGCAACCTCCGCACCATCGCCACTGCTGGAGCTACTCGGAGCCCACCATCCACAACATCTCTCTCCCGAACAACTCCTCCCAAGATGGCGCCTCCATGGAGGATACGACGCACAGGCCGCCGCCGCCGCCCAATCCAGACTGAATTTTGGACTTTCGTCTAGGAGGGGTTCAGGAGTGGATAGGGAGGACCCCGGCTTCGCCTCCAGGAAGGGTAACGGCGTCAACTGACGTCGCCGATGCCGGGCCGAACACGCCGACCAAAGTTTCCTCCGGTCCCCATCCTATGCCACCAAACCTCCGTGTACTCCGGATCCGGCAAGCCACGATCCGAAACCCGCGAAGATGAAAAAGCCATGGGGCTCAACCCACCAGAAAGGAGGATCGAGAAGAACTCCTCGTAGATCTCCAGACGTCGAATCCAACGATCCGACGTGGCCAGCGACGATCATTACCACCCCGCGGCCGCCGACGGAGTCCGAAGATAGGATCCAGATGGATCCGATCTGGATCCGGCGGCACCCGCAACCACCGGTCAGGCCAACGCAACCACCACCTCACGACACGCAGGTCGCCACCGCCGCGCCGCGCACGACGCCGATGGGAGACCCGCCCGCCGCGCCGCCGGACCCCACGTTCGCCCGGCGTTTCTCTGGATCCCGCTGTCCCGCGCCAGCCAAGACGGAGAGGATGGGGAGAAGCCCCGCCGCCGCCCAGCCGGCCAGGCTTCGCCTGGCGGCGCTGTGGACGGCGGCGAGGAGGGAGAGAGGAGGAGGAGACTCGAGGGGCGGCGGCTAGGGGTTTCCTCCGGGCAACCTGTGTACGTACGTAGCGCCGCCGTCTCTTCCAAAACAAGCATGCACAATGAACGGACTCGTCTCCCTCCCCCAGACTCGAAAATAAACTTCTCGGTCGATCTAGACCTGAAATAAAAATAAAGGCGCAACCGTGCCCGCGTCCGCGTCCAGGTACAATGAACGTGGCGCGTCACGTCCTTCACCTTCCTCTTGTGTATAAGCAGCCGGTTTCCGCGTCAGGGAGCTCATCTTATCACACACTTCCGTCGGTTTCGATACGTCCCCGTCCACCCATGCTCCTCCACTCATGGCGGCCGGCGATCTATTCTGCGGTGCTCCGTAAAAAAGTGAGTTTTTGGTACGACAACACCGACCGACAGTGCCGTTTCTCCTACAGCACACACAACAACAGACAACACAGTGGGCGGGCGTGTCACCGCCGGTGGAGTCGCTTGGAATCCATGTGAATCTGTGAATCTTTTGACAGTGCTCGATACTTATTTTTCTAAGGAATCTTTGGAGGAACACGCACGTAGTACGCACGATAATACTTCCTCTGTTTAAAAATACTTGTCGAAAAAATAAATGTATCTAGAAATATTTTAGTTCTACATACATCCGTTCTTATCCATTTCCCTAATAAGTACTTCCTCTGTTTCAAATTATTCATCGCAGAAATGGATGTATCTATCCATTTCTACGACGAGTAATTCGGAAAGTATTTGGATGATATGGTCGGGCAGGTGGCAGTTGTGGTGTACTGTAGCACTGGGGCATGAAATCTGTGCAAGGTGCTGATCGATGACAAATATGGACAGGCGAGACCATAAAAGAATGGTTGTTGGTAGCCAGAAGCAACGCAACAAACCTAGTATTGATTTATTTCCTTTTTAAAGAGAGGGGGAGAGAGAACAAGACAAGTATTCAGACAAGCAATATATCCAGTGCCGTCCTTTTCACTAGGTGAGAAACAGCTGTACCAACTAGGAGGAGCCTGTTGTTAATTGTCAGGAACGGTTGGTACACAATTTCCATTTGTGAATCGACTATTTTTCTTTTGTATAGTGGGCTACACCAACTGTTTATCAGCTATTTTTTTTAAGAAAAAAGTCCACTTTACTATCCTGAAAAAAGTTAGTGGTTCACATAACCCTTGATCTTTATTTCTGCTCCCTTCACCCCCTAAACAATCCTATACCAGATAAAATCAATCCCTGAATGGTTTTGACTCATCTTGGCGCTGACGTGGCAACGGTTAATGGTGGTTTTGACCTGTGAGTGGGCCTCCCTTAGGTGGACCGGGTTTTGTCCTCGCCTGCCTTCCCGAGCATCGCCGCCTCCGGCCGACATCGGTGACGGCTGGAGTTCCAGGCCGCCACCCCCGAGCACCCTGCTTCTCCTTCCTCTCCCTCTCTCTTCCCTCGTATCTCTCTCTCAGGTACAGGTCACGCCGCCAAAACAAGCTCGTCGCCGTACCATCCCCACACCATCGCTGGAGTCTGGATTTGGCCGGAACCAGATCAGATGGGGCCGCCACCCTCGGATCTGGCTGTCCCTCGCCTCCCCGCATCGCCTGCATCGCTGCAGCGCCGCCACCTCCACATCCATGGCCGACCCTTGCTTCCACATCCACACCGATGGCTGGCCACCCTCGAATATGGTCGTCCCTCGCCTCCTCGCGTCGCCTGCATCGCTGCAGCGCAGCCACCTCCACATCCATGGCCGGCCCTTGCTGCCTTTGGTCGACAAGAGGCCATGACCTCCGCCGCCTTGACCGCCGCCCCGGCCTCCTCTGCGCAGGGATGCACTTGAGCACGACCGCACCGATGAGCCGCCGCTGAAGCCCTCCACGCCGGCGACCTAAGAGCAGGACCGCGCCCATCATTAGTTTATTAGGTTGACTAGGGTTAGTCTGAGACATTGACATGTGGGCCCCCTTCTGTTGATGACGCAGTTAGGGCTAAATTACAGGAAAGATGTGGGCCCAATGTGTCATATTTTACTTGGCTCAGTCAGCGTTGACCGGGCCCAACCGTCAATGAGAGTGTCTAGCTGAGAGGGACCCATCAGCAGGCCAAATACTGCCTTTGACTATGTCCATGTCAGCGTCCGGTATGAGGAAAACCAACCAGGGATGGTTTTGGACCGGTTTGGGATTATTTAGGGGGTAAAGGAACCAAAAAAGAAAGATCAGGAGGTTATGTGAACCATCAACTTTTTTCAAGGTATTAAAATGGACTTTTTTCTTTTCCTAATGTAGAAGAACCTTAATATGATAATAGTCGTTGTATGAGCAAACTGAGAGTAACTCAGATGGTAATGTTACTTATGTGGAATCAACCCACTAGGTTGGTACATATTTTTGGTTCATTTGTGACCAGGGGCTAACAAGATTGATTATCGCCTTAATCGAGTGAAACATTTTTCATTGAAGGCATAACATGATAACAATTTATTTTAAAGACTCATGATAACAATTGAACCCTTGAATCAATTTGAAGAACTTAATAAAAAATTTGCCGGCACGTATGCACGACGAGAAACCCTAATTTCACCGCCCTGAGGAGTTGGCAGGAATCTACGCCGGACCTACGTCTAATCCGTCCCGAGGGATGAACATAAGGAGAGACGAAGCCCGGAAGACTGATTATTTTGCAACTTTGGAGGGAAGCCATGACACCCCCTAGATTTGCTCAAGCCTTAGGGCGAGCGACGCCAATGATGCCATACTCCCCGCGTCTTCTCCAAGCCCAACAACGATATCATTGTGCCTTAGCATATGGTTATACCGCCGTTCCTGCGGTTCCTGGCATCCGTCCATTGGCTCCATTTTGCTTGGCTCCCGCATCTGTGCCATGGTACGAGAGATAGGAGACGGAGAACATGTTACATTTTCTACTCGTTCAACCAATTTGACATCAGATTAGATAATTTCTCTGGTTTCACCGCAAAATCACCGCAAAAAAGGATAATTTATCTAGTTTCAAATTATTTAGCCTTAACGCCGGTATTATAGAGTTGGACAACATTATCAAATGACAAATTTACGTTTGGCATCGCTATTTGGCGTACACCCTAGTGTGGTGCTTGAAAAGAAAGTAAGTCAAGCCCGGTGATGACAAGATCACGTGGCATGTTTACTTGGATAGGAGAAACTCATGTAAGATAGGGTAGGGTAGGATGACCTAAAAACTCTCTCTGCCGTGTCACCATCCTCTCCTCGCCTCCTTTGCAGCTGTGGGGTTCTCTTCTCCCTCCCTCCGTCCCACCGTTCTCTCCCCGCTATAAATCCTCCCCAACGCCGCACGCAAAATCCAAAAATCCCCATTCCCAAACCTACTACACTCCACTGTAGCAGGAAGAAGAGGATGGTGGTGAAGAGCGGAGGAGGAGGCGGCGCGGAGGAGGGGGCCGCGGGCGCGGCGGTGCGGCGGTGGGTGGAGGCCGGCGGCGGGAGGCTGGTACTGGACGGCGGGCTGGCCACGGAGCTCGAGGCCCACGGCGCCGACCTCAACGACCCACTCTGGAGCGCCAAGTGCATCCTCTCCTCCCCGCACCTCATCCGCAAGGCAAGCCGCCGCCGCCCGAACACCTCGTGTACTCTCATGTACTCTGCACACCGCCACCTTGGCCTTGCCAGTTCGGCGATTCTGTTTTCTTTTGGCTGATTATTACTCCCTCCGTCCCAAAATGTAAGACGTTTTTTTGACACTTTTGGGACGGAGGGAGTAGTTCTTAGGATTCACCAGTTTTCTTCTATCATTTTGATCTTTGCCTGCTGTTCTCTACACGATTCAGAATACTTGTTGGAGTAGAAAGAAATGGCGGTGCCCACCATGATTCTTGGTGAGGCCGGGTTCCTAAAATCTACTAACACGGTAGTAAATTTTTTAGATGCGGAGCCATTAACAATCAGCTCAGCCGAGCAAGTCAACATTATGGGTCACTAGCTTACAAGGTGGTTGGAAAATGTTCCGATCTTCCTCCAGGGTTGCTGGAAGTGCCCCACGGCCCCATTAGAATAATAAGGTACTAGTGTGCTGCATCATGAACAGGGCAGTAGCACCTCACGCGATGCTAGCATATGTTTAGGCAAAGGAGGATTCGTTTTTCTTTCTTTGTTATGCTCTTGGCAGGTAATGACCCCCAAAAGAGAGGAGAATCAGTTCTTTTTTGCGTGCGTCCACTTCTATGCACTGTCATGCTACAGTTATGATGAGCATCTGAACGACATGACTGGATGCAAGCTTCAAGTGTACAAAAGATGTTCTAGTGTTTTAGAATAAATTACGTGCCAGCTACCAACATTACCGCGAACCTCATACCATTCAGGAATCAGGAACAAAGCTTTATTCACATGCCCAATTTATTCTGAGTATTATCCACACATAAAAATGTATTCCAGCTATTCTAGAACTTGTAGCATGTCCTCAGCCTAGAGTTTAGGGCCACTCTCTATCGGGTCTGATATTATTTGAATTTTTGAACCTGGCTTTGTTGGACCCATCTTGAAACCGCTCTGGAAACATCATGCAACAGTGCTTTACTAGTGTACAAAAGATGGTTTATGTGTTTTAGAATAAAGTGTCAGTACCGGATGAAAGATAGCACCACCGGATGGAATCGGGAACAAAGCTTATGCCACATGCCAAATTTATTCCGAGTATCTCGACATGACACAAAATAATAATTACTCCAACCATTCTAGAATGAAGCCTGGTCATTGTTAAAATTTAGTATAATGAAGTCCTTATTATCCAGTCTAGACTTGAGAACTTCAAGCATGGCCTCAGCCTGGAGTTTAGGGCCACTCCCTGTCGAGCCTGATATTATTTTGATTTTTGAATCTGGCTTTGTTGGACCCATCTTGAAGCCACACTGGGAGCATCATGCAAATGCACCATTCTGATCTGGGCAAATAGTTTTTGCTGTAGCGCTAGGATCAGTCCTGGATTCTTGAGATTTAGGACCTATGTTTGACCTGCCATGTGTATACTGGATACAGGCATCCAGGTGATTTCCGATGTTAATACTTAACTGCAGACTAGTCTGCGTAAATCTATTGGTGAAATATGTAGTTACTGTTAGGTGCAACCTGCAAAGAAAAACCGGAATATGCTTGAATTCACTGTAGTAGCTAACTCTGTTGGGTTTCTTGTGTTTATGAGTTATTCACATTGTTCTTTGTTGCAATTACCTAATAATTGCAGCTCATCGAACAATTGTTCTTCCGCATGTATAGCCGTTTACAGATTGACATAGCATGCTAATCTTGGTATGTGTATGATACAGGTCCACTTAGACTACATTGAAGCAGGTGCAAACATTATAATTACTGCATCTTATCAGGTTCGAAAATACAGTTTCACTCTTCCTGTTTTATGTTTCCGTGACATTTATGATCACACTGATATTCAAATTTGATGTTGCAGGCTACCATTCAAGGGTTTGAGTCCAAGGGATTTTCGAAAGAACAAGGTGAAAATTTACTAACAAAGAGTGTTGAGATTGCACATGAAGCACGTGAGATGTTTCTGAAGCAACATCCAGATCAATCCACTGCCTTGCGTCCTATTCTGGTTGCTGCTTCCATAGGAAGTTATGGGGCTTATCTTGCTGATGGCTCTGAGTACAGGTATTTTACTACTTAACATAGTACATGTTTTTCCATTTTACTTCTGGAAAATCACTTCTCTTTATCCGGTTGTTACTAGTGGGGATTACGGTGAAGCTGGGACACTAGAATTCCTGAAAGATTTTCATCGGCGGAGACTTCAGGTTCTTGCAGAAGCACGTCCTGATTTGATTGCTTTTGAAACAATCCCTAACAAATTGGAAGCTCAGGTATGCTGAACTTTACTGATCGCACAAGGATATGCTACCTCAAATTTTACAGTACACTCTTACGAAATAGTATCTGATGGTTTGCTCGTGATGTATCTTGTAGGCATATGTTGAACTTCTTGAGGAATGCAACATAAATATCCCTTCATGGTTTTCCTTCAACTCAAAAGATGGAGTTAATGTTGTGAGTGGAGACTCATTAATCGAATGTGCTAAAATTGCTAATGAATGTGCAAAGGTTGGTGCAGTTGGCATAAACTGCACACCTCCAAGATTTATTCATAGCTTGATACTCTCCATTCGGAAGGTAAGATCATTTTACATTCCTTTTAATTGTAAACAAATGCAAGTTAGGCTTCCATTCCATCCTTTTGCATGTTCCATGAAATGCGAATGCCCATGTTTTGATTATACAAATAATGTCTTACCATGCTAACTGCTGAGCAGCAGTAATTTTCTTTGTTGTGACTATCTGTGTTGTGCTCCATTGCCACAGGTCACAGACAAGCCAATTCTGATATACCCCAACAGTGGAGAAAGATACGATGCTGAGAAAAAGGAGTGGGTGGTAAGTTTATCTCAATCCATTTACACCTGTTTTTTGATAGCAACCATCTTATTCTTCTGAACACAAAAAAACCATCAATCAAATACCTAACTCTAGTTTCTTTGGATATTTTCTATTCCTTTTGTTTTCCATTTTCCTGCTCAACCTTAGGTATAGGTAGAAATGTTAATGTAAATAGGATAGATGAACATCCACAACGATTAGATATTTGCTCACCAAAGTGCAAGAAAAAACCACACTACCAGGCCAGTTTTTCTGAGGGAGACATAATATAAAAAGTAATACAATATCTTATTCGTTTTTTATTACCTCTGAATTATTTCTGGCGGCCATTCTCATCTCCCTTTGGTTAGCAGCCAAAACTTATGTGTAGAGGCCACCTTCTAGCCTGTCCTACTAATAAAAAAGTACACCTGAGATTGTTCTAGAACTCGAAACACTAATGATATGCTTCATTTGGTGTGCAGGAATCCACTGGTGTGTCAGACGGCGATTTCGTTTCTTATGTAGGTGAGTGGTGCAAAGATGGGGCTGCCCTTATTGGGGGCTGCTGCAGGACAACTCCAAACACCATCAGGGCAATAACTAGATCCCTTAACCAATACTACCCGGCGTCATAGAGTTGTACTCCTTCAGACGGCTTGCTCCTGGTGTTACGTTGTCAACATGTCCTGGAGATTTAGTAATAGCTCTGTGATGTTCTACAAAATGAGATACCTGTGCACTTACATTTGTGAAATGGTGGTGTACTTCTTAGTTCTCAAGTCGGCCTACATGGAGGTACAACCAGTCAAGGATTAGCAAGCAGTAATAGTGAAGTTGTACTGAGGAGCGAGCGAAACGATCGAAGGTTCACGACCCCTTATTAGCTATTAAGAGAGTTTGAGGCAATGTATGTGATACAGATTCAGAGTTGTTATGGAGATATTAACCTGCAATAAGCTGCTATGCTGTTGTGTACTAGTGCTGCCTTATGTATACCCTGTTTCCTGTAGTGCACTGTAGGTTTTATCTCAACTACTATGTATGTATTCCCCTCTGAAAATGATGAATTCTCCTGAGGATTTCTTTCATCACTGATATACAAAATCGCAAACAATATTGTTGGCTGTTTCACTTTTTTTTACAGTCGTGACGTGTGTTCCCTAGATGAAACCGTGGGGTGAAATTTCTCAGGTAGGAATGTTTGTACCATGTACAGATTGACTCTTTTTGTGTTATGGCCATAATTTTTTATATGGAAAAACACATTTCACAGCCCGAGAGAAAACACAAAGCTCAGTGTTGTACTCCCTCCGTCCGGAAATACTTGTCATCAAAATGGATAAAAGAAGATGTATCTAGACGTACTCTAGTTCTAGATACATCTCTTTTTATCCATTTTGATGACAAGTATTTTCGGACGGAGGGAGTAAAAGTGAAAGTTTAGAGTACTAAAACTGTTTTTTTCCCCACAAAAGGTGCAAAACCGCTCATTTTTCACAGAGTTACCTGTTGGGAGTCATTCCTGGTAAGAGAAGATGCATCTCATTCTATGATGAAGTATTATTGGCTTGTCAAGTCTTCACAAATTGCTCTCGACATTGTGATTTTGGGCTGCTGGAATATTTGGACCCAACACAATGAAAAGATACTAAAAAACGCCACTCAAAACACATTATGGATTTGAAATTTGTGATTAAAGGAAGTCTCAAATCTTTCTGATGGCACCGATTACAGGTATTTTACTGCTTAACATACACATGTTTTCCCATTTCTCATCAGGAAAGTCACTTCTGTTTTCCGTTTGTCACTAGTGGGCATTGTGGTGAAGCCGGGACACTTGAATTCCTTGAAGATATTCATCAGCGAAGACTTCAGGTTCTTGCAGAAGCACGTCCGGATTTGATTGCTTTTGAAACAAGACTCATGCATCTTGTATGCTTCCTACTTTGCTTATCACTTATCAGCATGGAATTTTTTAAATCATTCCAAATGGCAGTATGGGTGAAGATATAATTCATGGTTAATGTTATGAATAATTGCATATTCTGTACATTTCTTCATGAAGCAGAGCTACATGCTAATAATAATCCCCTGTGATGTACTTCTTCAGTTGTTTCACTTCTTGGTGCTGTTGGTCCACGATTGCTCTGACCACATCACCAATGGAGATCATACCAACTACCTTCTCGTCAAAAACTGGGACATGTCGAATGTGCTCGTCTGTTAATGCAGAGAAATCCAAAAAATACAACAAATTAGTAACTAAAGAAATCAAAATTTGTTACAGTACTTGTGGCGTGCACGGATGATAGGATCGTAAATAGTGAAATGCTTTACCAAGAGAATGTTCCATTACCTGTCATTAGCTCCATTGCACGCAGAATATTGGTATTGCTGGACACGGTGATTAGCTTGTTCTGTAACACAGTAAAGAAAATTATGAGGGCTAATGAAATGTGTGATGATATTCAGTCTGTTGCAGTTTTTTGTTTTTCTTCTTTAAGCCCATTCACCTCTTCTGTCATGATATCTTCAACTCTTGTTTCCTCTGAGGGTCGCCCGGGTAAGAGGATCTTCCGAGCGAAATCTGTATCAGATGAGGATAAATTGCAAGATTTTGAAAGGTTAGTCCATGTTGTGTTGCGAACTGTCTTTTTTTTCTTTCTTTCTAAGAAATCCTTTGTAACTGGTTATATAACACCATGATTTCTGTTTCTACGGAATATCACGGCATGCTCTTTTCCCATAATGATGTGCTTGTTAGACCGGCACATGAATCAAAACATTTTTTGAATCCTAACATTCCTTCTGATAAGAATAGAAGAAACGATTGATCTTCAGATGTTAGTAGCTAGAGTATAAGATTTGGAAAGTGGTGCTCTGTCTGAAAACATGTTACATTTTTCAGTTTGTTTGCATTGAAAGGGTAGAAGTTCAGTTACAGTCGTCCGAGGACATTCGTTTTACAGTACAATCAGTGCACATCCCAAGATGGGGGCAGCACAATCGTCTCCACACAAACATTAAGCTACTCTCTTTGTACTAGTCTGTGAATAAGAGATGAAGAAAAGAGCAGAACTAGTATCATGATAAATCTACCATTTACACCTAGCTACATTAACTAAATACTTTATCTATATATTATTAGTTGTGAGGGAATTTTTTGACTAAAAGTTTGTAAAGCATCCTCTGGTAATTATGAATGAAGGGAGCAGTCATCATAGACAGTTAATCGCACAATTGGCCAGGTGATTTGTGCTTTACCTCTTTCAGTTACAATCCCTGCGAGCTGCTTGTCGTCCCCCGACTTGAGCACGACTAGAGACCCGACATTATTGGCCGTCATCTACAGATTGAATTAAGCACGATCGATATTCAGTCATTCAGAAGTAGCATTGTATCCAGAAGTAAGATGAAAGCAGTCAGCAAACTCTTCTCACGTGCTTGACGGCCTCATGCACCAGATGGGTGGTGCTGCACCAGTAGACCGCCCTGGACTGGGCCTCCCCTTTGGCCCTGAGGATCTCCCGGACGGTGATGTTCTCCAGCCCCATGTGAGGGATGATCACGGCCGGGGACTCGCTCTGAATGCGCGAGATGAGGGTGGCCCAGGAGAAGATCCCCTTGTTCATGTGCTGCAGCACGGCGAGCCTCAGCCGCTTCCCGTGCTGGCTCAGCGCCTTGGCGATTCCCTGCATCCTGTATCTGCTCGAACTACATGATGTCTGTCGATTTCTGCCTACGATTTCTGCTGAAATGTTTCAGTGAACACCATACATACCTTGGCAGTTTCGCTGAATAAGATTGCAGGTGGCTGCAGCCCCTTGGATCGAATGGGTCTGTGAAGATGGTGTTTGTGTTGTGAGTTCAGGAATGGGATGCATGGCGACATTGTTGTCTCTTATCATGCAGACCTACCGCCTGGCCGGAACGCAAGAACCGGTGCTTACCTTCGTCATTCCGGGGGAAGCAAGGAATAACTCAGGTGACACCCTCGGTATTTCTAATGTTGCTTCCATTCCTTTCGTGAAGGTAACTTTGCCTTGCAGAGGCTCATATTCTTCAGCTGAATGGCAGTGTATTTTCTCCTCGGCTAACGCCGCAAAAAAAAAAAAACCGTATTTCTTTATTTTGCATAGGCTGTGGAACAGAATCAACCTGCAAAATACCGTTGTATTTTCTCCTCGGCTCCTGGATTCGCTCTTCATGTTCAAAAAAATACTAGGAAAAATAAAAAAAATCTGGAATTTAGGGATATCAAACCTGGGTGTTCAATCTCCCTTGTGAAGTTTCATGAAAAGATAACGTTTGTGGTATTCTCAGTAAAAAGACACAAATTCCTATATATAGAAAAACTGTTTGGATGCATCGTAAGTCGAACTGTATTTTCTTCACCACAGATACTACGTATGTCATTTTTGCATGAAACTTCACACGGGAGTAGATTGTGCACCCATGTTTGATATCCCAAAATTCCAGGCTTTTTTGAATTTTTCTGATATTTGTTAAATCTAATCATATAGGTGGGTGGAGCTGCAAAGAGAGCCTTGGCTCAGTGGTTGGGCATGCGGTTGTGCAGCCTAACGACTCGAGTTCAATTTCTAGAATTGACAGATGATGCACAGGATTTTTCCCCTATTTATTGAGGATCAAGTTTGGTGTGTGATGGAACCACCCATCAAAAATATCTTGATACTCATTTAAAAAATTTCGAGGACCATGTATATATTGGTACTCATACTAAAATGGTCATATACATGTATTGACCCCCCTTCTTCAAATTAGTGTGTAATTAATGATTCCTTCATTTGCTTACTAGCTAGCGTGTCGAGTTAGCTAACACAACATGAAACCCCTAAATTAACCCTCCAAAACCACTAAACCCCACTGAGGGAGTCCTGGATTAAGGGGTCCTCGGGCGTCCGGCCTGTGTGACATGGGCCGGGCTATTGGGCCATGAAGATACAAGATAAAAGACTTCCTCCCGTGTCCGGATGAGACTCTCCTTTGCGTGGAAGGCAAGCTAGGGGTCCGGATGTATTATTTACTTTCTCTGTAACCGACTTTGTATAACCCTAGGCCCTTCCGGTGTCTATATAAACCGGAGGGTTTAGTCAGTAGAGAATAATCACAATCATACAGGCTAGACTTCTAGGGTTTAGCAACAACGATCTCGTGGTAGATCAACTCTTGTAATCCTCATACTCATCAAGATTAATCAAGCATGACATAGGGTATTACCTCCATCAAGAGGGCCCGAACCTGGGTAAAACATCGTGTCCCATGTCTCCTGTTACCATCGACCTTAGACGCACAGTTCGAGACCCCCTACCCGAGATCCGTCGGTTTTGACACCGACATTGGTGCTTTCATTGAGAGTTCCACCGTGTCGCCGCCAAAAGGTCCAATGGCTCCATCAATCATCTGCAACGATGCTGTCCTGGGGTAGGTCTTTCTCCCCGGCAAGATCTTCGTATTCGGCGGCTTCGCACTACGGGCCAACTCGCTTGGCCATCTAGAGCAGATCGACAGCTACACCCTAGGTCACCAGATTGGTTTTGGAAACCTGGATTATGTCGCTGATATCCGATGAGACTTGATCTTTCAAGGATTCACGACCCCAACCTTCGCTCTGGCCTTAGATCCGGAGCGCGTCGCCAGGTCCGAAGACGGGATTCCTGACCCCGCCGAACTATCTGTGGCCACTAAGCCCAGTACGGGAGAGCCGGAGGAAGCAGTGTCGCTGGCAACCATCACAAAGCCGGACTCTTCCCTGGACACTGGCTCCAAACTCTCGGAGCCAGCATCTTGTGAGCTCGGCTGAGG